TACAAAAGTTGACAGCTGGTGAAATTTTGCCTATAAACCATAGTTTGCCAACCCATGGAAGAGATCATTCACTTGCTTAAATATTGTTTAAGAGACATAGTTACAAGTACTGTGATGTTTGGAAGAGACATTGTAGACAACAGAGAAGGCTTCACAGTGGAAGAAGCTTTTAAGCTGAGTCTTGAATGACAGAGGAAGAAAATATTAACACTGATAGAGAACTTATCCTTATTTTATTATTTCATTCTCACAATAGTCTTGTGGCATTAATAGAACAGCAGCTGGATAGGTTTGGGATATAAAATCGACTAGAGAGAATGGACAGGGAAGGGAACCATAAAGGAACCTGACTGCCACACTAAAAAAAAAAAAAAAACAACAAAACAAAACAAAAAACCTCTAGAACTTTTGAAAGATTGTAGGGTAGGTAAGGAAATATCCTATTTCTATTTGTGATGATCTATAATGCTATGGGACTGGTTTCCTTATAAGAAAAAGAAAAAAAAAAAACACAAGAGCGAGAGTTCACAAAATAGTTTGTCTGTCTGACTGTGTGTCTCTCTGAGAATGTACAGACAGAAGCCCATGTCAAAACATAGTGAAAAGGTGTCTGCAAGCCAGGAAAAAAGGCCTCGCCAGAAACCAATGCTAGCAGCACCTAGATCTTGGACTTCCAGACTTCAGAACTGTAAGAAAATCAATCTCTGTTGTTTAAGCCACCTGGTCTGTGGTATTTTTATGGCAGCCTGAGCAGACTAATACACTGAGCATTCTGTAGAGACCCCAGAAAAGATTGTTCTTTATATTGGGGCTGTTCTTTATATTGAGGCTGTTCTTTATATTGAGGCTGAACCAGCCGTAAAGAATGACTACATTTACCCATCAAAATTTGGCTTAAAATCAAGACTGACCATACCTACTTGTAAGTAATGTTGCAACCGCCTTCCAGAACAAAGTACAGAACTTATTTGAGGAAGACAACAAAATCCAGCTCTCAACAATAAGAAATTTACAATATCTAGCCTTCAATAAAAAATTATTAAACATGCCAAGAATCAAGAATTTATAAACCTTAATGCAGAAAATATATTAATCAATATGAACAGACCAAGGAATGGCAGAGATGATGAAATTACTGAACAAAAACTTTAAAACAGCTATAATAACTATCATAAATATGCTCATAATTTAAAAGAAAACAACCTTAATGAAGAAAAGAATAAAAGATATGAAAAATAATCAAATGGAACTTATGGAAGTGAAAAATATAGTATCTGTAATGAAAATTTCACTGGGCAGGGTTGTCAGCAGATTAAACTGGGGGAAAAAATGATGAGAGTCCTGTGGAACAATATCAAGCAGCCTAACCTATGTGTTATTGGAGTCTCAGAAAAAATAAAGGGTAAAGAGGAGATGTGGAATGGGAAAAATATTTAAAGAAATAATAGAAATTTTCCCAAATTTGATAAAAAGTGTGAACCCAGAGATTCAAGAAGCTTAACAAGCAAATAATGACCAAAATTTTAAAAAAGAAACAAAGACAATTGCACTGAGAAGATCACAATTAAATTGCTGAAAACAAGATATAAAGAGAAAATCTCAAAAGCAGCCAGAGGTGGGGGAAAGATACTATGTTAGAGGGCAAAGATAAGAATGACTTCAGACTTCTCATTGTCAGAAATAAGAGAATGGAGCCACATCTTTAAAGTGCTGAAAGAAAAGAAAAATCAATCTAGAATTCTGTACCAACAAATAGCTTTGAAAACTGAAAGTGAAATGAAGAACGTTTCAGACGAAAGCCGAGAGAATTCATAGTCAGCAGACATGGAGTATGGAAAAAAATGACAAAGGAAATCTACAGGTGGGAGAAAAATAATATCAAATGAAAATCTGAATCTACACTAAGGAAAGATATGCATAAAAATGTTAAATATGTATATTAATATAAATACAAAAAATCTTTATCTCAAATTTAACTTCTTTAAAATGTAGTTTTTTCAAAACATTAAGCAAATTAATCCCTCCCAACCTGTTTATTTTTTAAACATATTTCTCATACATCTATTTCCATAATTTTCTACTTTCTATCCTGACAGATTGCAAGTGGAGTCAATTTCAAAGAACTATATATCTTCATTGTATCCCTATAATTAACATCCACTCTCCATCACTTCCTTTCTTTTCCCTTTATATTGCAGCTCTGCAGCTGATAAGTGTGAATGGTATTTAACTCATTAAAACACACATAACCAATTTTGATGCACCCCTGTCACATCAGCACATAACAATCACTCTCAAGGACACACTGCATGGTAAGGAAGGTGCTAGAATTCTCATAAAGTGCATAAGAATGGTAAATAGTCTGCACAGGGTGACATAGCAAATTCATTTGAAAGGGAAGGACCTAGGCTTCCTCACTGTGCCAAAAGATACTCAGTTCTGCTTGGAGTAACTACATTCCTTCCAATTACATATTGAACACAATGTCCTGGATTTTTTTTTTTTTTTTTTGCTTTTTTCCACTCTAAATAATAAATCTGACAAATATCAGTAAAATATAGTTTAATAGTTTAATAATCCATTATTTTTCAAATAAAGCTAAATAAATTTGCTTGGAGTAACTACATTCCTTCCAATTACATATTGAACACACAATGTCCTGTTTTTTTTTTTTTTTTTTTTGCTTTTTTCCACTCTAAATAATAAATCTGACAAATATCAGTAAAATATAGTTTAATAGTTTAATAATCCATTATTTTTCAAATAAAGCTAAATAAATTCCTTTCAACTATCAAATTAAACAAACCCATTGCTGAATGGAAAGTGGCATTGTAATATAAAATAGAATATTATAACCATAATCAAACATATTTTCAGAGGGATGTGTGTGTGTGTGTCTGTGTGTGTGTGTGTGTCTGTGTGTGTGTGTGTGTATGTGTATGTTTAACCAAAAAGCTCTGTGCAATGAACTTCAAGCATCCCATGTCCAAAGGTTTTCCTGGAAAAAGAAATATAAAACCAAAGAAAAAATAAAGCTAATAAAAAACAGTTTTTACAGTTTTTAGTGCTCAGGGTAAAATTTACATAGAATATAGCAGGAAGCAAAAATCTAATCTTGCTCTCCTCCCATCAACCTTCCAATGGCTTCCCACACAACTTGGAATAAAATCTATAATCCTTGTCATTTCTTTCAGGGGCCTGAATGTTCTGGTCCCTGCTAACTGGGCAAGTCATCTTCTACTCACTCCACCCTTCTCAAGACCTATGAACTCGGTAACATTGCTTCAGTTTCTTATCTTGTCAAACTCCTTTCCCCTCTCAGGACCTTTTCAAATGCTGTTTCTTCTGCCCGGGCAGACTCTTTACCTGGCTAAACTTTTGTCACCTCCCTCCCTCCTCCCTTCCCTTGTGAATCAGTTTATATCATTTCATTGCTTCTTCATTACCTTTATCTCACATAGTAATTATGTATTTGTAGTTATATCTTTTTAATGTCACTCTTTTTGAGTATGAAAATATCAAGTCTATTTTGCCTTTCTCTGCATATCCAGAAAAAGTGCATGACACAAGAGTAGGCACTTCACATTTGTGGAATGAATGAACAGCTAGATTTGCACATGAATTCATGAATGCTATTTACCACAACTGTCATCCATTCCTGGATGAAACTCATGAACTGTGGTAGTATTTGCTATTTTTTTATATGCTCTAATAGATCTTTCAAGAGCACTACATATTGAAATTGGGTTATTTAGCATTATGTGGATTCCTAGCTGTAGTATGAAAGATTAAATAGTTAAAAGTATCATGTTACCTGTGAGCATTTAGGAATACCAGATGCATACAAATTCTAATGTTCCCTAACAAGAAAAGAAAGTGTCCCACACACATTTATACAATTATACTAGAAAATGGAAGCTCTAGCTTATGATAAGATATTGTAAAATGGAAAAGAAAATCAGGGCAGGCGGTGGAAATCCATGTTCCAGTATGAGAACTCAGCATTCCTTTAGCATGCCAAGGTGAATCTGTGTGGCAACATCTCCACACTGTGGCCAGATTCAGAATTGTGTACTACTATGTAGGAACATGCTTTTCCAGGTCCTATTGGTAGTGCACCCAAGCATTTATTCAATACTAAGTGGAACTCATTTAAATAGTCTCCTGAAAATTAATTTTAGTCCAAAATTGTACTAGTATCCCTTAATTATGGTGGCTTAATATAAAGTTAGCACAGTTTACTTGGTTTCTTTTCTAATGTTCCACACCTGCTTTTTATCCCAAACCTAATCAACAAATTTTTAAATTCAAATACATTATTTAAAGGGAAACTATACTATACAAAGGGAAACTATACTATATTTCTCTTTCTGTATTCTCAGTAAATTCCTTTATTTACTATTATCCTTCCCCAAAATTTATCTGATCTTCAATTACCTGAGATGCTAGCGTGAGTTAAGCGTACACTGTATAGTTTTTTTTTAACTTTATGCCATTAAAATGAATATCTAAGCTCTACTGTTTTCATATGCACTCACTTCAAAGTACCTTTGTACATAACTCTCTTTTTCTAGTATTGAGTGGGAAGTAAAGAGATTTCCTAAATGAAGGGAAATAGGGGGAAAAAATCTTGCTAAATTTCCTAATCCTCTTCTCCAACTTTTTTGACAATAAAATTATTTTGGTCCAGCACTTTATAATGGATTTGACTGCTTTGTTTAAAAATATTAATCTATCAGATCCCTTGATGGCTTGTCTGTTACTAATTTTAACATGTAATAAAGAAACATTTTGTTGACTAAAATCATTTCATCATTCTTCCTTCTTCTAACACTGACAACTCTCTTTATTAGATTCCATAGATGGCACAGCAAAGATTTTCCCCAGGTATTTATTTACCTCCCAGAAGTAAGAACAATGTTATCTCCCGATGATGTTTCCTCATCAGTTCCTAACATAGTTTGATGTCCATAATGGAAATCCAATACTTTTAGAATGACTGAAATAGGCAATTATTTTTTAATCATTATATTATGTTTTATCCTTGAAGTTGTATAACAACAATTTATGTATGATGTCTTAACATGCCATGTAACTTTTACCTTAGTCCCCTAGTTTTTCTGAGATTCTCATTCCTCATATGGCAAATGATGCAGGTTAATATTCTCCAAAATCTCTTCTAGATTTAAGAGGTTATGATGATTCTGCATGTGAAAATAATAAATGAACAAATATAAATTTTTAAACCAAATGTCAACTATTTAGGATTATGACTTTTTCAAAGAAATACTCTAAGGAAAAAGCAACTATGACTCTGTCAAGACATGAATTAGACTGCGGTCCCCAACCCCTGGGCCATGGACCAATACTGGAACTAGGCTGCACAGCAGAAGGTGAGCAAGCAAAACTTCATCTGTAGTTATAGCCATTCCCCATCACTCATGTCACCACATAAGCTCTGCCTCCTGTCAGATCAGCGGTGGCATTAGAGTCTCATAGAAGTGCAAACCTTATTGTAAACAGCACATGTGAGGGATCTAGGTTGCATGCTCCTGTGAGAATCTAAGGCCTGATGATCTGAGGAGGAGCTGAGGTGATGATGTTAGCACTGCAGAGCAGCTGCAAATACAGATTATCATTAGCAGAGAGGTTTAACTGTACAATAAATGTAATTCACTTAAATCATCCCAAAACCAATGCTACCCCTCCACCAGTCCATGGAAAAATTGTGTTCCATGAAACGTGTCCCTGGTGCCAAAAAGTTTCGGGACCACTGAATTAGATCATACATGTTACAGAAAAAGGACTTGAGTACATGAAGTACCAAAATGACATTGTTCTATCTGAGGACAGAGCTATGTCATAGGTTTGACATAGTTCTAGTAAAAAATAAGAAACTAACTCCATTGATTTTATGGATGTAGCTAAAATAAGCAAACATAGTAGGCACTATCACTAAAATCACTGGAGCAAAGTCATTTCCAAAACCCTGGGGCTTTGGAAGATGCCTCTGTCAATGGAAAAAATGAAGCTATGCTGTTTCACTACACATCATTTGTCCTGTAACTATTTCCCAAAACTATTCTTGATAAATGCCCAGGAGGTAAGAAAATCTCTGGAAGAGTGATAAATAGGAAGGGAAGTAAGATGTAATCAGTCAAAAATTTGGAACCCAATATCACAAGTAGAATACTCCTAGAAATTTTGCTTAAAACTAAGTCATAACCAGAATTTAGAGGCTTTTTAAATAATAGGTTACATTTTTAGCTGTTCTGTTAAAATTACTCCCTCAATAGGTAGGAATGGAGTTATGAATCATTAAATTCAGTTCCACTTCCCTCACATAACTTCAGCATGATGCTGTGACACCCCAGTTAGTCCCTCTCTTAGCACTGATTATATGACTTTTCCTGGTTCTCTCCAGCACCCTAAAAATATTCATTCTAAAAGATTCTGTTCCTACCAATATTTTCTTTCTCTTTCTTCCTTCCTTCCTTCCTTCCTCCCTCCCTCCCTCATCGCCTCCCTCCTCTCCTCGCTTCCGCTTCTTCCTTTTCTTTCTTCTTCTTCTTTTCTTCTTTCTTTCTTTTTTCTTCTTTCTTTCTCTTCTTCTCTTTCTTCCTTTCTTCTTTCTTTTCTTTTTCTTTCTTTCTCTTTTCTCTTTTTTCTTTTCTTCTTTCCTTTCTCTTTTCTCTCTTCTTCTTCTTCTCTCTTTCTCTCTTTCTTTCTTCTTTCTTTTCTTTCTTTCAGCCAGAATCATAACTACATGGCTTCTACTACTACCACTGAGCACATACATAGTTCTCACCTGCTTTCTCAATATCTCTATAGGGATTGTATCAAATTCAATGTGTTTAAAACTGAGCTCCCTGGCTTTCTTTTTAAAACCAGTGCATCCAAATATTTGTGTCTATTATTGCCATAACTATTCCACCATCTAACCTCAAAAGCTTGTAGTTACCTATGAATCTTAGATGTCTTACCCATACCCCATGCACAATCAGACCCTGATCCTGCATGTTCTGACTGCAATCCTGTTTCTCACCCCATCTTTTCTTTCCCACTCTACATGCCACCACGATAGCCACAAGTACATCTCCATTGTCTCTTGTCTGGAATATTGCAGCAGTCTCCTAAGTATGTTTCACATATCAGACTTAGCATTGTTATATTCCAAGGCTTGATTTATTCTGTACCATTTCAGTATTTCTAGAACCAAAACCAAATCTTATATATGATTCTCTGCTAAAAACTCCTAAATAGCTTCCAATTGTATAGGAACAAAATAGAAAACCCTAATAATGTTTAAGGCTTTTCTGAAGATTACCCTTCCTCCTGTTTGCTACCTGTGTCCATGCTCAAGTGGAACTAGGCCATTCTCAGTTCTCGGAGTTTGCTTCTAGTTTCAGGGTGTCCCTTATTGGGTGGTACCCTCTTCACTCCCATCTATATGGAATCTATACTTATACCAGGTCAAAAAGCTCAATTCATTTGGGCAAGTTGTGTAAAGTGTATCTATATTTGGAAATGTAAGGGGATGCATGAGAACATGAAATAAAAGATGACTTGCTGTCCGTTTCTTATTTAACTACCTCAAGTCCTAACATCATCTACCCCTTATGGCACTCAGTAATTATGCCTTCAGGTACTTGGATCACAGTATTGCCTCCTACAGAGCCTTTACGGGCCAGTGTCACCTTGAAACTAAATGCGAGTTTCTTTGGGGAAAGGCCAGCAATCTGTTATAACATGCCCTCCAGGTGATCCTAATGCATGTTAAAGTTTGAGATCCACTGTTCTAGTGGATGAAATGGGTTTGAATTACAAAGTGGTAGATTTCCACTCAACATAAGATCGCTTTATATGGGATGTATGCATTTTTCCTTAATACTCTTAAAATCATTTTATTAGGAAGATTTCCAAACAAATTAAAAATTAGAGAGCATAATGTTCCCCATTTACCACTTACCCATCTAAAGCAACTGTCAGGTTTTAGTCTGAAATGTTGGTTCTTGGCACACCTATGGCCAAAGAATGTCAAAATTAGACAAGCACAAAAATAAGATTTATTGAGGAAAGAAAGATAGGATTATAGGGCAAAAGCAAGATATAGGTTTACAGAGCATGATACATACACCACAGATGACTACTGGACCCACTGTTGCAGCAGAGAGCAAAAGGAAGTGTACAAAGAGGGCCTGGTTACGGTCTGTGTCTTGTTTTATAGTGCCCAGATTGGGAGCCCCATGGTTCAAATGTTGCCATGGAACCATTTTGATTGGACAGTTGGGAGACATGTTATCTAAGTCTTACTGTGCATGAGATCTCTCGGGAGACTCTCTGAAAGCCCATGGCAGGGGTGGGGGTGGGGGGTCAATCGCAGCAACACCCACTTTCATCCCAAGGAATCTCTTGCTAACTAAGTGACACAACCATAAGTTTTTTTCAATAATTATTTCATCTAACTTTCTATTTTCTCCTTTCTAATTTTGTTAGGTATGACAATGGTATGATTGTTTTGCTAGTAAATCCCTTCTCCAATAAAAAAAAAATACTATTGAAGTATTTAAGATGGTATGTGGGATTTGCTGTTTTAAAAAAGGACTTTTTAATAATTATAGTTGCACTAAAATTAAATGAACTATGTAGGGAGATTGTGACCTCCCTCTTACTCAATATGTTCTAATGTAGGTGACTGTGACGGTTAATTTTGTGTCAACTTGACTGGGATACAGGGTGTTCGCATTAAACATTGTTTCTGGGTGTGTCTGTGAGGCCATTTCCAGATGAGATTAGCATTTGAATGGGTGAACTCAGTAAAGTAGATAACCCTCCTCAATGTGATTGAGCAGCATGCAATCTGTTGGGAGCCTAAATACAACAAAGGAAGAGGAAGGAAGAATTCCTTCCATTTTTTCCTGACTCACTGAGCTGGGGCATCTCATTTCATCTTATCCTACCCTTGAACTGAATTATACTGCTGGCTAATGTAGGTTTCCAGCTTGCAGACAGCACCATGGGACTTTTCAGCCTCCATAATCTCAAGGGCCAACTCCTCACAATAAATCTCCTTTTATATACATATACATCTACTATATATTATATATATCATATATGTTCCATTTCTCTGGATAACCTTGACTGATACAGTGACTATCTATAAGAAATACTGTGCAAGAAATTCTTGCATTACTTTCTAGGAGGAATTGGTAATCTCTAAAATCTTTCCAAACTCTAAACTACATAATTACATGATGAAATGCATTATTTATATTAAATAGGACTTTTAATTTAAAATACTTAAATAACCAACATAATTTTCTCACTGTAATCCAAATAGAAGAATATAAACAAATATATATTCAAGCATAAACATTTGTTAAACATAACAAATGTTTAAAAAGTCTATCTCTATAAATTATAATTATGATATTAGAAATACAGTTTCCAAATTATTAAATCAAATCTTATATATATATAATCACTATAATCACTATGGAGGATTTGTTGCACTACTACTGATCTCTTAATACCAGAGGCAGTATATATAAATATATCTAATTACAAACTATGGCAGGCTATAGCCCACATTCATGGAACATAATAAAATTAATGTCAGAATATAAAATAAAATTTATTGAATAATAGATCATATTAACAAATGCCAACCTTGTGGTTCAAGGATATGCCCCCTTTGAAGAACATAAGAAGATATGTCTATCCCATGAAGCACAAAAGACAGCTAGACCCAGGATGGTGATTGGATTTTACCTCTCTTTCTAACGCCAATTGATTAGGAATGGTGCCTGAAAAAATGTTTTCAAGAATGTGTGACCTCCTTTGAGCTCAGTGGGAAAGAATGAGAAGATTGATTACTGGTGTTTTCTATGGGTTGGGGGTGAAAGAGGGAGGAGTTGTTGTGGTGTTAAGTATTTGCCGACTTTATTGTGGGCTATTAAGCATCTGCTTTCTACAAACCTTTCCCTCTACACTTCCACCACCTTGTCTAGCTATAAAATCTTTCCTCATTCATATTTAAATTGTTAGCAGTTCCTCAAAACAATTTCTCTTCCAGCAAAGTAATGGTTATTTTGGGTGGGCAAAATCACTTTTTTTCAGATTTGCAAAAGACAGAATGACATCCCAGAACTTCATTTCAGCAAGTAGCTATCATCTATCATCAGTATAATATTAATGAAGAGGG